ACACACCAACACTTTTGTTAGGGTTATGAATCAATTGTCACACAATAATTGCTATAATGGCAAAAACACTCGACATTTATTCAAATGATTCTAGAGTTTTGACAACTTTGCACAGAATTTGAAAAAAATAAAATCATAAAATAAAAATGAGTATAAAATACAAATTGAATAAAATTTTTTACATGATATCAACGGATATAAATATATAAAAGTTTATATAAAATGCCATCACTTTCTATACTTAAAGATGATGACTGCGGCAGTTAAGAAGAATATAATCCATATTATGGTTACACCAAAACCGAGGGCCACAATGCCATAGGATAGGTCCCATCCACGGGACAGTATATAACGCATCGCTTCTGTAAATGACAAATATTTTTAGTTATAATAAAATCAAATAATATGTTATAACAAACCGATGGGAATAGTTTGCGGTAATATATAACTAAAGTATCTAATAAATGTGGGCATCGATTGTGTCGGCCAAACGGTTCCGCTCTGTCAAAGAGTAAAATAGTTATAAAAATGTACAAAATTATGAATTGACGTCAATTACAAGAAGTAAATTGGGATAGAAAGAACCCAAAGCCAACATCGTTGCTGAGTTCTCTTCTTCACAGATTGCGGATATCATTAATCCGAAAGCCATTCCACACGAGCCTTGAAGTAATGTGAGGACAATAACCCATATAAACTGACCCCGAAATGGGATTTCAAAGACCAAAAATGTGAAGATTAAGAGCAAAGCCACCTGTACTGACAGCACCAGCAGTTGCGTCAACACATGCGAGAGCATAAATTCNAAGATTAAGAGCAAAGCCACCTGTACTGACAGCACCAGCAGTTGCGTCAACACATGCGAGAGCATAAATTCCGTGGAACTAACGCCTAATGATTGATCACTCATTAGTCTAATTGTAGTTATGATAGAAAAGTATATAATCAACAATACCTGCGACCAAACTTCGCTCCAAAAGTCCTTCTTTGCGTTCCATAACAAATGCCAATGCAGTCAACGCGACGGCCGCTAAGAATGCAATGCTTAAGACCACTCCGGGTGCCATGAATTCTGTAAAAGTGGGCGCTCTGTCGCCATAGATTGGTTTTTCCATCTGACAATTTGTGATCAAATCAATTAGCATTTTGACAAATATAGTATTAATATATGAATACACACCACAACCGGTAATTCAACCAGAGATGAGCTCTGGCCCAAAGTCGAGAGCATATCTTTTCCAAAGCTTATGAATGACAAAGTGATTGTTTCGTATAACTTGAGAGAAATCATTTGATCTAAAAAATAATGCTTTAATAACTAATACATAAGACCGCATACAACTCATCACTCACTTGTCATATCTGGATATAAATGAATGGAACTCATGTCGAGCGTCGCGTTGTCCACCTCTCCAGCCATCATAACTCTAGAAAAAGTCAATTCATTCATATTGTATTCGTACTCAATATTGTTGTTGAATAATACCTTAATTGCAATGCGTTAGTAAAGTTGCGTCCGATAACGAGTGCTGCCCAGGCGTCCCCATTCTTGACCGCTTCGATGGCCGTATCATACGATGGAAATGGCATTTGAATAATAGTGTTGTTGTCGATATGGTTTAAGAACTGTTGACTGAATTGACCCATAGGTTCCTCGTTATAGACGGCGACCGGTATATCAAAGGGGTGCTGACCGATGCACGTGCAGAAGAGGATCACTTCAATTGATGGCAACAGGAATTGGAAGAGAAGGACCGCCATATTTCTTCGCAATCGAGTTATATTCTTCCAGAATAGAGCCGAAGTTCGGGCCGCGCTATCCATCAATGGATTGGTCGAGTGTTTGAATTTATTAACACTTTTGTTGGCAACTGTTTTCTTTGCTACCATTTCCATCGAATCACTCGATCCTTTCATATTCTTCAAATTATGGACAGACTCTCCGACACCACTACTACTGCTGGCGCTACTAATGCTAGCATTAATATCAACATCTTTCGACTCCGATTTATTGACATCAAAACAAATATCGGGCGTATTATCCAAAGAGTTGGAACGAATCACTTCTTTGTGCAAACTATTCACATCTATTCCCTGAGCGTCGAGCGAACAAACTTTTAGGAACACTTCTTCGAGAGTCGGAAACCCGTATCGTTTGAGCAAATAATCTGGAGTTTGTTCCGTAAGGATGCGACCAAACCTCATGAGACTCACTAAATTGGCAGCTCTGGCCTCTTCTATATAGTGGGTCGTTATGATTACAGTAAGACTTTCCTCTTTGCTAAGAGTTACCAAATAATCCCAAATACATTGTCTTAGCAATGGGTCGACACCAACAGTCGGTTCTATTAAATACAGGTTTAAAATTATTAAAAATTTATTGATAATTGTCAGACAAACATACCGTCGAGTATAAGGAGTGGCGGATTGTGGACAAGTGCTGCGGCCAGAGATACTCTCCGTTTTTGACCTCCGCTTAGATTCCCGACAAGACGTCCCTTTTCCGGCAGATCCAAGAACTTTAGCAGAAAATCGGTTCTCTCGGCTATTATACGCTCTTTCATGTGATAGAGACGACCGAAATAGTTGAGCG